CAGGAATCACACCCGCACGCTTTTACAACGCTGGAGAACAAGAGGGTGAGTTTTGATAACGGTGGCAACTGCTTAACAGCGTGACAGAAGACGACAAGGACCAGATGTAAGAAAAGTGGATAAGAGAAAGGAGGAGCACTAGCCCTTCAAAGTGCAATCACATAAGATGACCTCACTAACAATATTTTCAGCTGTCTTGCACGTGGTTATCAAGCACATATCCCGGCCTCATACACTTGGCAACCTTTTAATAATTATTAGGCTTTTTCTTGTTTTTTACTCTCATGCTGTGAAATTAATTAAAAATTATCGCACCAAAATAACAGCGTGGCCTTCTCCAGTCTGTTAATGCTTGGTGCTAAGGCAACACCACTGAGCTAGCTAGCAACACAACTGCATACACAGTGCCCCACTAAATTCATCAGGTTCTTCTCTTCCCATCCAAATTCTGCCCCTACATTATTTTGAGAGCAAACCAGCTGAATAAATGTAAATTTCATTTAAATTTTAAGACCTGCCTCTAGATCGCATGCCTTTATGGAGGGGTTTTAGAGTACTTTAATTTAAGGAGAAAAACAGCAGCCACGCATACCGCATACTTTGTACAGAATCCCATTTATTTAAAGATATTTGCTGTCCCATTTGTAGTCACCATCTCTGAACCCCACGGCAGGCTATAAATAGGACAGGATGTGACAGATCACTGGGAAGTATGCTATGTTTCAAGCCCGTTGGGATAACTTTTTTCCTTTAAATGACTACATGTGACGCACTTCCCAGAAAACCCAGCACTCGGGGCTAGACTTGAACTATTTTGACACTCAAACAGCAATACTGAAGCACTTTGGCTTTCTAGAATCAGTTTTGAAAAGGAGAAGGAGGGAAAATCTACCTGAAACGTTGTAAAAAGAGAAGCATTTCACTGCTTCCGAGAGTATTTTGAAGTGCATAATAATCAAGCAATATACTTTTTCAAAAATAAAACTATAGCATCAGTTAACAAAAATACTGCTTTCCCCACTGGAGCAGCACTAGCATTTGGTACCCCAGCTCTCAAGGGTTTACTTACGAGCTGCACATTTTAACATTTTTCATGGGACTAGTTACAACAAGGAAGAGAACAGCCGAAGAAACGATCAATCACTTCGTGATACATGTCTGCGTGGATAGCACGCGCAGGAGTTACAGCGGAGCTGCTCAGTGGCCCAGGTTACACATTGGCATTGCCACCATGCTTACTGCACATGAATAAGAAAGGAAGTCATAGTCTCAAAGATTTTCCAGAGAGTCACAAAACTCTCTTCTAAGGGCAGAGAGGCCCCTAAAAGGGCTCAGATCCCAGGCAGAAGTGGGTGCACCTAGGCCAGGTCTCTGCTTGGGAAGCAGGACTGAAAGAAACCCACATGCCAACGGCGATTTGCAAGCAAGAGTTCACAGCAGCTAAAGCCGGGGCTCAGGGCGGACAGCTTGCGGCCTGAGCTGCTACCTCTGCAGGGTCTCAATTGCTTCGCTAGGATCTGCCTGATGCCGATTTAAGTCACCGCAATCACTTTCTTGCGGCAGATCTCTGTCATTTGGGGCATGTGCACACAGACACCAGGTACTGACAAACCCAGATCAGGGGTAGGTCTCAGCAGGTTTGACGTCCGGGTTTTTCAGGTTTAATCATCGCCCTGTAGGTCCAGGCAAGAAGCCTGAAACGCTACAAAATTGCATTTTTATCCTAGGAAATACAACTCAATATAACTGCAAGTGTCTGGACTTTCCCAAGTAACGGCTGCTCTCCCTCTGCTCTCCATGCTTATAGCGCATTCTGTGTTTTGCTTACTCTCCTGGGGTATGTGCCAGCAATAAGAAACAATCCAAATAGTTCACTTAAAAGTAATATCATCTAGTCTTCCAAGTCCTCTTAAAAAAAAAAAAAAAAGAAAAAAGAAAGAAAGAAAAAAACACACACACAAAAAACCTCCAAGAGGTGCTCAGAATTTGGCCCTTGGCCCTGAAAGAAAGCGTTCTGGAGCCAAATGTCCTCAGCTCTCAGTCATCTTTCTCTTCAGTTTGACAAAAAAAATTCAAATGCTTTCAAAAATAACTTTCAAACCTCAAACTTTTTTTTTTTTTTTTTAAATGGGAAATTGGGAATGCTCACCAGGCCAGGCCATGTAAATAAATACATTCCTTGTTCCAACAGGCTCATGGTAGCTTAGCAACAAGGGAAATACCAGATAAATATTGGTCAGGCAGCAAAAGCAGAGGTAGGAAAAAAAAACCCAACACACATATAGACTTTCCCCTCGTTAGGCCTATGCTGAATAAGCGATGTAGCAGCAGGGCAATCTCGCAGCTGGGACATGCAGACCCCAAGTAACCCTGGAACAATGAACTCCTGTCCTGCCAGGGCTGGGTAAGCAGCTCTGTTCCTCCAGCCAGGAAGGAACCAACTCCCTTTCCAAATACTGCTCTTGCAAAGGCAACTCATCCTCTTTGGAGAGAGGAACAGGAATAGAAAGAGCCGCACACCACACCCTCTAAAGGATCCTTTATATCCCCATGTTTTTTAGTGCTGTATCTGGGACAGGGAGAAGTCTTATTTGCTTGCTTTCACACGTCAGAATTATACAAGCCCCAGTGGGAATGGCACAAACTGCACTGTTTACCCACAGGCCACTCACAGGTGAGGAGAAACTTCATAGAAGCTGACCCCGCGGTATCGCTCCATGTGCTGTTTGCTGTAGATTTCCAATTCCTTGTATGGATTGACAGACACCAGAACCGAGCCAATGTATGTCTGAAATAGAGCAAAAATTGAAGAGATTGCATGAGGGCTAACAGCGGCTTCTCTTAAGAGTCCACAATTGCTCTGAGGTCCAGTTTGTTGACAAGGGTTCCCCACAGCAGGTCCATTGGGGACACTGCTAACAACTTCCAAAGAAGCCAAGGGTGCCCAAGAAGCCACCTCTTAGCACAGAGAGCGTGACATTAGAGGAGGTATGCTAGATATGTCATCCTTGCCGGAAACATAGTTCCCACAGATTGTTTTAGTCCTGCTAGTCAGCAAGGATATTGGATTACTTCCGATATGTTGTTTGGGATCCAGTTCCAGCCTGGGGTCATCGAGCGCTCACCACAGTGGATTCATGAAACGGAAGAATCTGGTGCAAGTTGGATCGTCAGTGTTGGCAAGACAGCCAAACAGCAGCAGGTCTCAACTGGAGCGCTGCAAATGAAGCCCTACGCAAGTAGACACGCCACCAGCCCAGACTAGTGCCGAGGCAAGCAGTCATGGGCTATAAAAGCTGATACCACCATCTCCAAGTCCTTCCAACTGCAGAGCAAACCTATGGTCTGCCCTCCATAGCAAACATCCAAATTCAGGTCACCGATAAAACGCTTTGGCTTCTGCCACTGTTACTCACATAAATCAGATTCTCCTTGAATCGCTTACGTAGATTTTCAATAAAAGCTGCTTCGCTGGTGAAGTTCTCAAGCAGGACAAAATCCTGCACCCCCACGCGGTCGCGGGCTGTCAGAGCGCTCTCCATGGTCAACCGAATACCGTCGCTCCCTGCACCCTGCAAACAAAAGCAGAGGAAGGTTGAGACATCTGTGATTTTCTGTGCAGCTCACCCAGTCCACGAGGACCATTAACCACAACTACCCACGGACAACCTACAAATAGGAGAGGATATGAGAATAACCTCACTGCTGTTGAAGATGCCACTGAACGTATATTAACACTTTATCAACTAGTTTATACTAATTGCTTTGATGGAAGAGAAACCAGCATTAGGGAGAAGGTATTGCTAGACTCCTAATTAGTAATTAAAAAACAAAATAATCAAACATTTCCCAGAGAGAACACTACTAAGATTTCCTTTCCCAGGCATCCTTCAGCAGGCAAGTGAGACTGAAGTGGGCTCTCATCTCTTCTTTTTCTCTCTCATCTCATAACAGAAAGTCATTTTTAGGTAAGGAATCTTTTATGACTAACAACGATGATTCATCTTATGAGCAAACAGCTTCACATTGCTGACAATGCTAGAAACCCAGTGGGAAAACGCTGGGAAAATTGAAAACTAACGAGAAAGGACCATTACGGTATCCCAAACCACTGTTATGAACTTAGTCTGTGACACTAATACCTATTCCTCACGCATCAAGCAATTTCTATTCCTTGACCCTCCTTTTAAAAGCCACATTTTCAATGTGATGTGGTTCAGAGAGAAGCATCTTTGGAAAACAGGTCTGCTGACTTCCTACTTCATTCAACCTCACATATTAAAACAGGGACAGGAAACGTGCACAGAGAGACTCAATCACTGCTTGCAGGGAACATTTCTACTAACGGCAAACAAATTTCTACCAAAGGCAATTAGACCCTTTGGACCTGTGACAGACGATATACAAAGCAAAGAAGATGAGAGACACTACAGAAGTCAGAGACAAGAGATACGATATATTTAAACAATTTGCCCCATATCTGCCTGCATGCTCTCCTGTTTCCTTACAGTATTTTTAAATCATTCTTACTTGGCAAACTCTTCACAGCAAGCACCTTTCCCCAAAGCACTAATACACTGCTGAAGCATCTGTAGTTATTTTCTGGGCTATTTTCATCACTGTCAGGAAAACCCCTGGAGCTCGCTTCTAAGGGCTCTGCGCTAGCAATACCCTACGTCATGCTGTACTGTAGCAGTATAACGAAGCAGGAACTCAGGACCCCTGCCCAAACACTTTTTTCCAGCCCCAAAACCCCACACAAGGACGTCGATTATTTTTGCTGACTCACATTGTCAAGCAGTGCCTTTCTGCTCCTTCCCAAGATATAAGAGTGGTCAGAGCACAGGGACTGATGGTGTGCAGGGAAAAAAATATAAAATAAAAACAACCTTGGTCAGATGAAATTTTAGCTTAAGGTTTGTTTTATTAAGCAATAATAAAGGCAGGACTCATTGCAGTATAAATCTGGGCCCAAACCAGTTCAAATTCCCTCACTTTGCAGTTGGTCAGACTTACCAGTCATTTACAAACGTAGTTTTACTAACTTCTGCAAGTTCTACTTGGCTTCCTGAAAGCTCAGCACCTGAGCCTGACTCATTGCATGAAACTAGCAGCTTTTAGTAAAAAGATAAGTTCCTACAACCCGCCACTGTCAAATCTTAAATCAGAATCCGCTCTAATGCCTCAAACCACAAAGAAACTTCATTTTAATTTTCTTCTTCTTCTTCTTTTTTTTTTTTTAAACTTGGTCTCATGATCTGGAAGGGCCAATTCGTGAGCTTTGAAAGAACAAGTCTGGGGGATTTCTGCAGATACTGTCATAATAAGTCTTTTTAAAATGCCCAAGACTTTACAAGCCAATTCCTCCACCCCTTCAGAAAGGGCTTTCTTTGGCTTCTTCCACTTTCTTTGCCAAGGTGGAGAGGAAAGGGATAAGTCCCAGAGAAGAAGAGTGGTGAGATAAAGGACAACATTGGTGAGAAAGAAATAGGGATAAATCACAAATAACTCAGGCTGCAGATTAGGCGGCTTCTCCCAGAGCAGTGCAATCCTGGAGCAGCCTTTGGACAACGTAACGGGAACAGAAGCAAAACCAAAAGAAAATAACTACTTCTCAAGTGGGTAAGTTTATGAATACAGTTTCAAAACACAGCTGCCTGAGAAATTACTGAGGAGAAACTTCAGCCCTCACACAGTTAATCCAAGTTTATATAATTCTGCAGACTTTCTCAGAAAACGTCACTTTGCAGTTTCAGCAGCTCTTTCATCAGCCACTCCTCGGAGCTCAGGACAAGCCGAGCCCAGCTGCACACAGCCAGCCTAAGGAAGGAGCAATCTATCCTACTTCAAACACAATTTCCCACACAAAACACACTGTACTTCTCAAGAACAGGCATTTGAGGCTAAGCAGCTTTCGGTTTCCTCCATGCTTTTCCCCTCTCACTCAACGTCAATCTCTCAACCGAGGAGAGCAAAATAACTGCCTGAAATTTTTCAGTCCCTTAAAAATAAATAAATAAATAAAGCCAAACACAACCTTTCAGCAATAATTAAACGTGACCAGGTTATCTAGTCTACACGCCCCTCTCAGATTCTCCAGAAGACAAACTTTAACTGCAGTGTTGCGCCTCCCCAAGCCTAAATTCAATGCAAACGTACAGGGACGGTCTTAAACCACAGCTGAGCAATATGCACTCCTGTGCCACCATTTGCTCATCTGCTTTACTGCTCATGCCCAAGTTTACCACCAGCTTAAAACGGCTACCTGAACTGTTTCACTGCCCATAATTTCAACAGATGCAGAAGGAGGTGAGAATATATTTTTTTAATGGAAATGGAACAGTAAGGCAAAGGAAAGAAAGCGCGGAAAGAAGACAACATTTAGGAAAATATAGTCGCAAAGATGATAATATGTTCCTACTGAATGAGTGTGACAGCAGGGAAGTGAATACATTAAAATAACCAAAGTGTCAGTTATTTTATGTTAGCAGGCAGACATAAAATGGGGTGGCTGTAAGTTAAGGCCAGAAACTCCCTTCTAGGGGGTTAAAAATTGTTACAGTGAAGTCACCTAACCATTAAAGCAGCTCAGCTATGGACCGAACCAGCTCCCCGAAGCGCCTTCGCAGCAAGACCCTTTTTTAGTAGATACACTCATCTCGGCCGAAAGGCTTCATTTATACCCTTCTCTGAGCTGAGCTAGGCAAGAGACAGCTTGGGCAATTCTGAAAGCCTCGAGACGGGGAGCACATATTCTGAACAATCAGAATATAGGCTGGGAAGGTCTGATTAGACCCTTCCTTGAAAAAATTCAGTTTTCCATGAAAGCTGCTAACAAAATAAATACAGCAATAGATGATGGGTCATTCTCACTGTGTGAAGGCAGGCGAAACGGGCAGCCCCCCCGCCCTCTGTGCAGCTGGGCCCTTTGGCTTGTGCTGCCTCTAGCGCTTGTGCAATGCACTAGGCTTAAAACTAACTCTGATTTTTTGGTAAAAAAGTAATTTTAATCCAGGCGATTTCCCCACTGCAGTTTCGTACATACTCGCTACCAGCCAGGAGGCAGGCGGCCCAAC